CGGATAGTGGAGGGTGTAAGCAATGTTCGAGTAGGTCAGGATTGCATACCTGTAACTCGAACTGGCTGTTGACCTGTAGTCCGAGTCCTCTGACCTGACCTGAGACCTGCGGCATCTGGCGTTGCAGTCGAGTGCACTACCGCCGCATCGCATATAAAAAAAGTAACGTTCAACATATCGTCAGCAAGTTCTAACAGAGCGTAAGTCAAAAACATCTGTTGATTTGCCTATTCTGTTTCAGTTGAAACTGTAAACAAATCTCATAGAATAATTTTGCAGTTCATGAATCCATAAGCAATCGAGTGACTTACGCTGTGTTGTCCATGTAGATTTACTTACGTAGTATGAATTTTATTTAAAAAAATACGGCGATATTGCTTAGCTTATTCCTTTCTAGTTGGTTGAAAGGAAACGGGATATCTTTCTTCGTATCAACGCGTTATCAACCGTATTAACCGCAAGAAACATCATTTATGCTGTTAGAACTTTACTGAAGATACTTATAAATGTTGGTATACCACATTACACCGGGGTGTAATGTATACCTCATCGACTTGCATTTTGTCAGATAATCACTAATACGTTTTTATTAAACCCATATTTTAATAAAGAATTTATTGTTGAAGGTCTCTACGTGTCTTATGAAGGAATACTTTATCTAAGATGTTAATTTTATCTTAAGTAAGGCAGATAGGATTATTTTTAGTTCTAACTTTGATACTAATAATGAAACAGAACAGTTTGTTGTCTTGATCGACGGCGCTAATATCTGGAATGGATAAGAACAATACTTTTTGGGCTTCAACATATTTTACATCACGCTATGGCTCCTAGGGTCGGAGCAGTGAAAAGCTAGTAATTAATACTGTAATAAATTATAAGCGTATAACGCAGATTACCAATATCAGTACAGTTGCAGGTTGTTTTTGTTCAGCGTCAGATTCCAAAGTCAGATTAGTAAAATTCTTTTTAAATTAGGTTCTTTATTGTATTGATTAAGATTACGCTATGATCCATAGGCCCGGTGTACTTACGACAGTCTGCGGGGCACGATTAAGATTATCTAGGTACTCAGATCAGATCGTTCTCGGGTTTAGCGGACCTATATCATACTTTTACTTATTCAGAACAATGTCTTTCCCTCTTGTCTTCTTCATCTCAAGATTACCTGGACTGGTGTGAGTTTATTTCACATTAACTCGATCGTTACGGTCAATGCGTTAGACGTTTCGATTGGCCCGCGATGAAGTCTTCACCAATCACAACGCCGGACGCGTTCGTCGTCGAGAACGATTGATGTGAAATAAACTCACCCTAAGCCTTCTGCTCGTTAAAGCTGAGATGAGCTGAAGGATTCGCGACATCATGCAACTTTCTATAGCCATAAGATTAATATAATAAATTCAGTATTTGATCTACAATTTCAGAGTAATGTAATGCCATGATAAATTACATTGCACAAAAAATTAAAGACGGCTGTTCCTATACTGACGTTAGATTAAAAAAAATATGCATCTGACGACCTACACAAAAAAAAGACGCCTATGTATATCTTTAAATTTGGTGTACATATTACGAGTATTTGAAACGAACATTTTAATAAGACGCATCTGTCGGAATATTATGCCAATAAAAGAAAAGGAAAGACGGATCTTCATTTTTTCGTCCTATTAATATGAAAAATAATAGTGAGTAGCGTTTTTTTCTACAATGGGCAATAGAAAAACTAAATATTTTATTTATTCCAACTTTAGGCAAGCGATTAAGTATCATAACTTCAATTTGAGCAGAAATTCAAGAAACATCTTTAAAATCTAAAAGGAATAGCCGTGAACTCAATCCACCTTACTTTTTTAAAGTTGGAAGTGTTGTTTGTTTAAGTACATTTTTCATACCAGAGTTCTTTTGTTAGGAAGGGCAGGCAGATACCATCGCGCGATACGACTGAGGAGCAATGAAGTACATAATATTTCAATACACAGTTCATTCTATTACGTACTAAATGAACTGTTTTAAAGACTAAAGTAAGCGGTTCCCACTGCAGTAACTGTAACCCTAGTTTGTAAAGAAAACAGCACTACAGCCTTCTAACGGCTCTTTTTTTCCTACTTTTACAGTGTGGTTTTTTTAATTCTTTTGTTTGTTGTGTGTATATTCGTCACTTTTGGTTTAAATTTATTAATCATTTTTGTAATTAAATTCCACTTAAGCTTGTAATCATTTCAATCGGAAGAGTATATTCCACCTTGAAGGTTGGAAAATTTTGGGATGGAAACTATAGTTTAATACAATTTATGACGATTTAGGCGCATTGGTCGGTGATGCTTTTTAAACAATTAATTATGTACAGTGTAAAATATTTCCAGGCAGTTAGCGTCGCTTCAAGCATCCACTATCCTACTGATGAGCCATAGGGTACTTACATTTATAATACTAAGTTCAAAGAGTATTTCAAAATCTACTCGGTGGTATAATTCTATTCGATGTGGGTCTTGCTTTGGATTAATACGATGTGTTTTGATTAGATAAGAGTGCCATTGTGTGAACACAGCTGCCAGTATATGCATGGGATATTTAGACTCGAGGCACTACAATTATTTCTGTTATGAATATCCTAGCCCAGATATTATCTATCTATTGTATGAATGGATATGAAACAAAATAAAAGAGAGTTGAATAATTTGCGTATACAAAAATACAGATGCTTGCTATGCTTGTAATAGTAGCTAACTTTTAATGAAGTCCTTGGTCAGCTTGAAAGTAAATAGGTTTGTGACTATATCAGTGTCTTTGGACTATATATCCCTAATATTGAAATGAGAAGATAAGAATCCGATTATATACCAACAAGTACAGTTTGAACTTACAGCTGTTCACCGTCAATGCAACAGACAGCGCCCTATTTATATGGGGTGTCAACACAGAGGATACGAGGAGGCATCATTCAAGTATTCTTCTTGTTACAAGATCGATCCTAGAAGCCTACAATGGCCTTTGGAGGCTTTCATGCTTCTGGAAGGAGCTAGTATTGCACACCTAACTAGTAAACCACAGGCATAATTGACCGTTTATGAGTATAAATGCAGAATTTAAAGCCCTCACCAATACCAATAGTAAGTTTTTTTTTATGGTATAAGAGAGGCAAACGAGCAGACGGGTCACCTTATGGTAAGCAACTGCCACCGCCCATGGACACCTGCAACTCAAAAGTCACAGGTGCGTCGCTGCCCTTTGAGTCCCTAACGCTCGAGTCAGTACAGTTTGAAGACGAAATCTCTTCCTTCAATCCTATTGAATCTTAGTATTTTTGCCAGGCTATAGAGCCTTTTATTTGTAAGGCATCTAGCTGATGTTGTGGCACAACTATTTGAGACTGGCTGATATCAATCTACACAGGCAGATTTAGTATTTCTTTTAAATTGTATATATAACAAAGTATCCTAGCTTTCCTATTACTGTAATTTTTTAATTTTATGAATGAAAGCAGAGGAGTTCAGAGTAGAGTAGTGCAATTTTATGAAATAAATACATATTATTTCTATTATATGCAGGCATGCATATATATAGGCAGGGTGATATCCTAAGGAGCTACATTGCGACTGAGGTTTCAGTTGTGTTATTTTATAAACTGAAATCAATTTGTGTGGAGGTGCTGGAGTAGAATACTGTCTAGTGAAACAATGTTTGAAATTTATTGAGTGTACGCTTACAAAGCTGGATAACTTAGTTGTTATCATATTTACACAGGAAACTTAAATTTAAGATGCAAAACCGAATTTCTTAGAAATTCTAAAAAAAAAGCAGCATATCTGCTGCAGTGAAGGTAAGATATAAATAAGTTTTATTAAGAGAATTATTTTGATTTGAATACATAGATAAGAGACAATGCTTAGCAACAACCAGATATCTGTCCACAACATCAGTTGTTCTTCTTGTAGCAGCAAAATATCTCTCTTAGAAATTTTACAGAACTCAAATAGGAATCAGAAGTATTTGGAATTGGTATGACCAGATATTCTGAAAGGGGTGTCTCCGAATAGACTCTCCCTAGACCGGTTTAAACCTAAAGCTATGACAGTCCTGTAGGATTATCCTACCTAATACTATTAATGGTAATGTGAGTTTTGTCACTGTCGCATTTTTCTACTTGACCAAACATCATGAAATTATGTCCATATTTTGTCAGAGAGAAGAGAGTTGTAAAGAGAAGGATATAGAGTACACGCTGAAGAAAAAAATATTCCCGAGCGAGACTTCATTTCATTGACCAAATCTATATTCACATCAGTGAATCTGCGAGCAAGTGCTAATAATAATTGAACTTAGTGTACCTAAGAACCATTGATAAAGGACAAAAATGACATACGTAGCACTTTTTATGAATTAAAACTAACTTATTTTTTATCATAATAACTTTCTATTTATTAATTCATATATATTTATTAGATAGCACATGTTTAATCAATAGTTTGACCCACATAAAGAAGCAAATCAACAGCTAAATTGCAACTAATTAGGTCAAAAAGTGAAATTTGGGTTTTTTTTGCTATAATTACAGACCCTTTGTGACTGGCACTAAATATATCATAGACTAAAAAACCACATAGCAATGGATTATCACTGTTAAATGGGACCCGATATAAAATGAATAAGTTAAGTAGTGGGTACATAAAAAAAATTTAAACATATATTTCATATTGGAATATTTTGGTAAATTATCTGTTATGAATGTAATCTATGAATTATTCAAATTACTAATAAGATTGTTCCTTGTGAAATTATTGTAGTGATGGTGTAGGTGAGGTATTTCCACCAAAAAAAAAAACAAAAAGAGTAACTGGGTAATTGATGTGTTGTCAATGTCATAGCTATCATGGCTATAGGGTTTATTCTGAGTTTTACAACATGAAAGAAAATCTAGTTGAAAAAGGTTAAGTATATTCAATAAGAATCAACTTAGAGTGCTTAATAATTATAAATGGAGGTGGTTTAATACTCACTGTTTCTATTAGTTTCCTATATTCTAAAAGTGTACTCTTATCCTTAATCTCCCCGGAGGCGATCCACGACTTGATCTGATCCCGTAGCCTCTGAAGCTTTTTGATCTCCTTCTTGAGGTCTGCCTCATACTTCTCTTTTTGGTTACTGTTCGTCGCATTGTGTACTTTCTGCCAGATGTCATCGAATGTCTCCACACCCTCTGTTACCTTTTTTAAACACCTGTCTATTTCACCTGAAAACCGCATAACCACTTCAATGCAAAAAACCTGTTTCCGTTACGTATAACTCAATAACAACTGTGTCTTTCACTTTTTTATTATTTATATGGGGGGTAGGGACGATAACACCGCTAAATATCGATGTTTGTCATTGAACAACATTAAAATTCTGTTTGGAATACTACAAATAGTAAGTAACGCGGCAGTTTGTGATGTTTTACCGACCACCTGTACGCATTACGTTCTGTACGCGTGTAACTGATACACGTTTCACATATTCTGGTCGACTTCAGTGGCTCCAATACGCTAGAGGTCTCATCAATTGACAATAATGCTCTAGAACACGTACCTACATCGGTTGGGGTCAATCAATCTCTAACCTGATAACATAACAAATTACCTTGTAATTTCCTTGTCGCAGCCATAGCTATTTACACATATGGACGAACGTTCCGTACATATCCTAAACATACAAACTATTTACAAGAAAATGCACAAAAATTATTGATAAACAGACAAACTACACATCTGAAGCTTTGTTCGATTCCAAGATGGCTACCGTACACCGCTTGAAGTATAGTGTCTGAACGCATCCAGGCTAACCACCACAGTGAAATCCTGCCCCGCGCCTGGAATGGTAATTAGCACGGAGCTTTCATAAATAATTATGAATTATAAGTTGTCACAAATAACAACAAACTTCAAATTTTCCACAAAATGATTTTAGGTACGTCGCGTAGACCATCAAGAGCGCAGGCGCAAAATAATAGAGCAAGGCATAGACTAAAAAATAGGTTATGAAAACAATAAGTGTCCGTTTTTTAACCCACTATTTATTGTCACGAAATACTAAAAATTAATCTTGTTTTGAAGTTCGTCGAAATATTTGTTCTTAAAAAAAAACAATTTATATCCTCTTAGAAAAGACAATGAAAACATACTCTTTTGTGTCTATGATTAATTTGATTTTGAGCAAGGTTAACAGATGGCAGTAAAACGAGACCGACCATTTTAATGTTAGTGTCAAGTATAATAACCTAGATGACACTAAAAACAATAAAGTTAACTAAGAACACATACTATATTTATATATATCATATATCATAACTAAGAATACATTATTTTAGTAATAAAAACATAATATACAGCGCCATCACATCTTCCAAGCACAGCTGGTTATGTCGGCGTTGCTGCTTCATCCGCAGAAACCCTCAAACGGCGTAAATACTATAATTTAGTAGGAAATTACATTTTTGAACCGTTTGGGCTCGAGACGCAAGGGTCATAGGGTTCGAGCACGCAGACAAAGGGCACGACAAAGAGGAGATTGTATAAGCAACTGTACACTGTGATTCTAAATAGGTCCTGACGTTATCACAGTGGGCGTGGCTTCAAATTAGTACACTTACCTTAGTGTTTATTGAAATTCAGTTACTTCTATTCGTCACTAGATGACTAAAGTTTGTGTTATTTAAACTAAAAATACAAAGGTAAATACGCTATCCTTGAAACTATTAGTCAGATACGTATAACTCTTTATGTATTGGATAGAGTTTGTACATCACGATACGACTCTTAGGAGGGCAGCAGACATAAAGCTTAGTTTTAGTCAGATAATACTGAAATTGGCTCTGCATTCAGCCCTAAAAAATTTTTGATGGCCTAAACAATCTATTTAATTTTATTGTAATCATTTTGTAAACAGACTATCATCTATCGGCAACCTGAAAAACATACATAAACTGAACAAAAAGACAGGGCCGAAAATAAAGGAAATTGTAAAAAAAGAAAAAAAAATTGAATAGGTTTAGCATTTCGTAAAAGTCTACCCAAGAAATGGTCATTTATGAGTTATACCCACGGGCAAATACAAAGAGGTGTTGTCATTAGATTTCTCTATCAAACAATGAAGTACGGGGTGAGGGGGTGGAGGTAGGATATTAAGTAAGGACATTAAATAATATTAAGTCTTAACTATCGGTGAAAATCATAACACTCTTTTTCTCCGCAGTGGGGTGATAATAGGACAAAAAAAATTGGTTGCCTGTAAAGTCGGTATACGGGCGAAAGTTTTACGTGACAACGACTTTGAGTGGTAAAATAATTTTGGCGGGCTAACTGTGCTCGAGTGGAAGGGACGCGTGCCTTTCACTTTTTATGTCTGTCTCTCTCGCTCTTAGGCGGGCTAACCATGCCCGAGTGGAAGGGACGCGTGCCTCTCACTCGCTCTCATTGTGAGCGCATAACGTGAGCGGAGCGTAACGCAGTTTCTTGAAGTGTCACCCGGCAAACCAATTTATAAGACGTGGTCACGTCAAAAGATAAGCCGTACACATAAATACAGATACAATAAGATTAAATAAGTGAACAAGTTTTAATTGTTATTCGTAATTTACCACAAACGTTTTTATTCTCACAGTAACAAAACATACCCAGCGCCTATAAGTCCAGGTTATAATCTATTTGTATACCACATTTGATCCAAATCCGTTCAACCGTTTCAACGTGAAAAATAACACATACACAGTACATAGCGTGGGATAAGTCAACGAAAACGAAAGAACACATAAACTTTCGCTTTTATAATATTAGGGAGGTTAGTACGATTATAATATGGGTAAGATTTTTACAATAGATGTAAGTATCAAGACGGTACAGAAAATTAATTTTAAGAAAGGACCGGTACGAAAATTTTGAGTAAGGGACGTCCCTTACATCCTACACTTAGTGTGAGATAGCTAAACTAAATATCAACATCGACATAGAACGATGCGAGTAGTTTTGCTATTATTTGGTAGATGGAAAAAAGTGAAGTAGGCAGAGCTTAACACCCCCTCATCCCACAAATTATTACTCGTTGTTTCATAGGAAAATCTAATTACAACACCTTCTCTTTGTATTTACTCCGTGGTTCCGAGTGCGCTAAGCAATTGATCGACACTTCTTATGATAAGAGGGCCAGCCTTTTTCTAGCACAGAGAATAAGCATTGACATTCAATGTGGCAATGCTGCCAGTATTTTGGGAACGCTACCAGTCGCCTACTGGTAGCGTTCCTAGAAGACTGATGATGCGGAGGTATTTTATATGCTTGTATGTAAATTTTGATTGCATTATAATATAATTCTTTTTTAATGTAAGATTAATAAAAATAATGAGATATATTAAAAATATATGGAGGGCCTAAGAGTACAGCTATCACGGGCTCATAAAACAATACACAACAAATACTTCCTAGTGGTACCCAAAATAAGTGTTTTTTTGGGTACATGGCCACAATTTAATTTGAGTTGGTTCTTTAGTTTATGGTTTTTCTCGATGACCCCAGCTAAAGTCGCGGGAGGACTTCTACGGCCTGTCTAGTTTTGTTCCGCGCCGCCTGCCACTACAGGCGGGTCACTTGGTTGGTTGGGCTAACATCCTTCTCCAACATTTTGCAATCGTGGCGTCGCCACTATAATTTGACGCTTTTTGACGGACATATCATACACAGAGATGGTTCTCCTTACCTTTAATGTCCATAACAAAGAGTAAAAAAAGTTATTTATTACCTCAGAAAACTAATAAACCCTACTCTTACTTACTCTTTCAACGTAGATTTCCTCTGTTGATTTTACAGTCTGTAATATTTTTAGCCATGACTATGCCTCGTTTAAGTTTAATGGTAGTAAGGCTCAGACAATTCATTCACACAATACTAATAATATTTTATTATTAATCTCTTCCATATCTTCCATATCCTTAATCCATATATCACGTGTAACACTCAAGGGGTCATTCAACCGATTGAGATACTTCTCTCCTACTCCTTTAATACCTAATATCTCGCTGGAAGTTTATTCAATAAGACTTTATAAAGGTAAGTATTAATATACAACGTAATAATTAATACTGATTAATTATATAACCTTTTAAAATTCCAGTAAATAGTAGATAGTAAATTGTACTACTGTACTATGGTAACCAGATTGCTGATAAACATACTTATAAATTTCTAAAACCATACATATTGTTACGAGCCGAGTATTCGTCAAATAAAAGTACGCGGTCAATAACCAAAATTAGCAGCGTATAAACACACATTTACAAACAACTTAACTAAATTATGCACTAGAAAATCGCTTCGATCTTAATCCACTATCTTGTAAAAGAATACTCGCTCGTATGGCCAACATGCTCCACTTTTATAGGGCTGCTGAAATAACCAGAATAATCGATAGGATTCGATAGAGATTTCCAGATTATAAGTAATTTTCCAATACCAATAATTTTCCGTTACCTGACACTAGGTGGGAATTTTGAATCAAAATCTCAACGCGTAGTGTTCGTTGTGCATTATTTGAAACTAGATGGCGCTGTCCTCAAGATTACATACAGCTCTCGATTGTTTATGAAATTACACCCAGACACAGAACAAATCATCAAGTTCATTACCACACAATTAAATTGTCCTGGGTGGGTATTGAGCCCAAAACCTCTCACTTAGCAATCAGGGTCCCTACTCGTAACCACTAAATCAACATGCCAGTCGAGTCATAGCTATAGCCAGAGTTAATTAGAAAAGTATTTTTAAATTAAAGGGTAGTTCCCTCGGTTTGAAATAATATTGTGAAGCACAAACCGCGTCTCATACAAAAATATTGTTATATTTTATTACAGAGTCGTTAATACAGTTCACACTCTCGGTGGACAGTGTCAATATGAACTTAGCGTTAACACCTCCGGGCGTGACTACGGTTTTAGATGTAGGTTTATCAGACATTCCGCAAGAGACCTTTGTTGTATTTGTTTCCGTTAACCTGTTTATCTTATAGGATTAGATATTTCTTTATGCCATATAGGGGGCAAACGGGCAGACGAATCACCTGATGCTAAGTGACTACCGTCGCCGTCCGTGAACATCTGTAACTCAAGAGCCACAAGTGCCTTGTGGCCCTTTAACCCCCCTTCCCTAACACCTCATGGTAAGTGATTACCGTCGTCCGTGAACATCTGTAACTCAAGAGCCACAAGTGCCTTGTGGCCCTTTAACCCCCCCTTCCCTAACACCTGATGGTAAGTGATTACCGTCGTCCGTGAACATTTGTGACTCAAGAGTCACAAGTGCGTTGCGGCCCCTTAAGCAACGGTAAAAGCCGGTGAATATACTAACAAATTAGCAATTTAGATATATTCCTAATGAAATTAGAGGCAAACAATGAAACGCTTAGCAAGTGCCGCTGCCCATTGACACCTGCTAGTCATATGTTGCCCGCTTATGTGGTGTCAGTACGTTCTTATCTTGAAAATTAAAAATACCGTCTCACAATACCGCATTAGATGCTGCCTTTAGAACTTCTTACCATCTCCTAGATGAGATGTTGTATTTGATCTAATGTTCAAAATAATTAAAGATAAATTGATCTATAATGGTTTCCATTATTACC